CGAAAAATGAGGAGCTGATATTAAGGGCTCAAGTAGAAAGCAAATGTTTTGAGAACGACGATGGCAACAAATGTACAAATGTGCTTGACAGAATGGATGTATGTATGGAATGTGATAAGAATTGTACAAGCCCCCAATAAAATGATAAAGAAAAATGGAGAAAGTAAAAAAAAGATATTTTGTCAGGATTCAGTTTCTCTTTCCACACTATTTTCTTCCTGTTGCCTGACCTCTGAACCTTGGGGGATAAGCTGACTTTGGATAATACATACGCACTTTGAAAGTTAGTTTAAGAAATTCCATTACCTTTTCATTCCATTTTCCCACTGAGTTTTTGAACGCTCCCTTGTGTATATATCTCACTGTTTCGGTTTCTCTAGAGAACCTTGACTAAGACACGGTACACGGCTATATGGAAAGCATGTAGTTGTAGCACAGGCTAGCGGATACAGAGGTCCGAAGTTGGCCGAATGGATCCACCACTGGCAGTCTGTGGACAGCTCCTGGAATCGGCAGTGACACAACAATGAGACTGAGGAACCAGACCCAAGATCAAACTCCAGAAGACGGCAAAAGGCCAAGAAGAAGTTGACTCTGCTGGCTTTCTCTCTTTTATATCAAAAAGTTTATGGCACCAAGGAGGTGTCATCAGACTGCAAGGCAATTGATAGGCTGAGCTCCACCCCTCCCCTTACCCAGAAGTATCTGGTTGACATAATCCCTGTCATTCATTTGAAACTTTAATATCTATGCAGAGAAATGAAAACAAGCCAAATGGTTACATGGGTTTAAATTGACATTGAATGCTTTCTAACTCTGAGGAGGTTTGGTGACACTGTTGAGAATGCCTTGGGCTCCTAATGACAAGCTCAGTGGTTCCTAACCCACCAGCCGCTCCTCAGGAGAAAATTGAGGTTATCTGTTCCTATAAAGATGTACAACCTCAGGAATCTTGTTTATCATCTCTAGGAGTCAGAATTAACTTGATGGCAGTATGGTTTTGTTCTTTTAAACACATGGGGCAATTTAAGCCATAACTGTACTACGATGCGATGGTGAGAGAATTCGTAGTCGTGGAGGTGTTACTAATAGCAGTAGCGGTCATAGTGGCTTCTGTACCTGTGTAACTTCAATGGGGATAATGACCACGATCAGCCCAAAGCTGACTCCTGTGAGGCAGAGGTCAGACATACCTCTACTTTCTTTCTTTTCTTAAAACACCAATTCTGATACCAGCTGTCACTCCCACAACACTCTCTACTTCTTTTCTGGGTTCAATAACCAGTTGCAAAAATCTCAAACCACTTTGACAGTGAAGTGGGTTCTTAAGGAGCAGGGTGTAACTGAAGATGGGGATCAACAGGGATCTGGAAGCCTGTGAAAATGTAATTAATGCCAATCAACTGTTTATGTAGAAATTGTCATGTGGGAATCTAATTTGCTGTGTGAACTTTCACCGAAAACACACAAGTCTTCCTCCTGCAGAGTAGGACAGTGCTTTCAGCTCTTCTCAGCCTGCAGGTCTACTCTCTGACACCTGAGGCCACGCATCCCCCTCCCCATGTCCCCTGCCCACCCACCCCCTGGCATGTTCTGTCTTTGCCTAGGTTCTCTCAAGATGCCGAATCAGTGAAGCTTTTACATTTATAAATGTTGAGAGATTTGCCTTAAGAAAATGGCTCATGCTATTGCAGAGGCTGGTAAGTTCCAAGGGTCAGACACCTAGCTAGTGACCTCTCCAGATTCATGTTGCCCAAGACTGGATTAACCCAAGACTGGAGGTCAGACTTCTGGCTGTGAAGGTGAGTGAATCAATCCAAGGTCAGCAGGGAAAATGGCAAGCTGCTCATGACAACTGGAATCAGCAGGCAATGGTTAGGCTATGTCCAAAGAACCAGAGGCCAGAGGACGAGAACATGCTGGAATCAAAATCAGCAAAAAGGAAGGTTTGCCTGAGCGTCCACCAATATTGGAAGTAGGCAGCATCCCTGAGGAATTTTTCAGTTGACTGACTGGCTACTCATAGCAGAGTTCATCAGGAAGATGCTACATCTTAAATACCAACTCACTGAGGAAAGTGGCTGAGCCAAGTTGACACAAAATGGTCATGATTATGGACTCCTCTTGGCTCTGCTGCCTGTCATCTGCCGCTGGGTTCTTCCCAGGCCTCTTGCTGTCATCAGTGTTACAGCCCTTGCCTCGTCGTACAGTTCTTTTAGGAGATCCCTTGCCTCTTCTCTCTCCTTCCTTCTGTTGTGTCTACTATTTTTCTGCCAGATTCCTCTCTGCCTTAAAAACCTCAATGGGATTGGTTGGTTGCATATTCAAAGAGGCTTCCAACAGTTCATAGAAAAATCACCTTTCAATTATGAATGAATTCCATTTTCCCATGAACTTTTTTTTTAAAGATCATCTTATTGGTTGCTCTTACAGCTCTTATAACATTCCATACATCAATTGTATCAAGTATATTTGTACATATGTTGCCATCATTATTTTTTAAACATTTACTTTCTGTTTAAGCCCTTGGTATCAGCTCCTCTTTTTCTCTCCCTACTCCCCTACCACACCCATACCTTTTTGAAGCCTCTTCATGTACACAACTCCTTGTCAATGAAAAAAAAAAGGAGGCCCGATTGTCCAGTGGTGTAAGCACTCAGCTGCTAATATGAAGGGCTGCTGTTTGAACCTACCCGCTTCTCTTTCAGTGGAAGATGTGGCAGTCTGCCTCGGTGAAGATTTACAATCTTGGGAAACCCCTGGGGCATGTCTATTCAGTCTGCAGGGCTGCTATGGGTCAGAATTGACCTGATGGTCGCGGGTGGGGTGGTGGGGTGTGTGTTTCGGGTTTCATCAGTTTAAAGAGATAGCCTCTCCCAGTAGGTGGGCCACAAACTGGCCACTTCTCTGTTAGTAGGCCACAGACACTTAATTTGCATAGCTAACAGTCATTTCATTTGTATAGTGTGTCATTCAAATCCTGCAAGGTGCAAACTAATCACAGGGCAGGCTCTAGCTAGCTTGGTATTAGGCAAAAGCAGCATACCACAAGCGGTTTAGTTTCCCAAGGGAGTGGCAATCACATTGGATGTGTTAAGGTGAGTTTGCTGGAGAAGCAGTCAATGACACACACACACATATAAAGAAAATGACTCATCAGTTGTGGAAAGGGGTGACTTATGTAGTCAATTAATATGGTCCTTCTAGTCATTATTCCTTATGTGATACAATTTTGGACTTTCAATGCCTTTGGCGACAGTCTCATTTAAAAGCTGCTAAGGAACAGGAGGTGTAAAATGGGATTAAGACCTGACCTTAGAGTAGAGGGTGTGACTTGGTTTCCTTGATGAGATTTTAAGATAGTAGCTTAGTACTGGTGTAAACCAGGCCCTGCTTTGTTGTCCTTAGATAAATAATGTTGCTGCCTTACAATGCCAATCATTCATGGCCTCACCTGGAAAACCAGACCTCTGTTTTTCTGGTTGAGTATAGGTAAGAAGCGAGAAGATCCACTGAGGCTTTTGGACATTTTTGGCTTCTGGCTTCGGACCCTGTATTGGGCTCACCTCTGCCTGACCAGCCCCCATGACGTGTGAGATGCTTCTTCAAGGTTTGATGAGTTTCTGTGGGCGTTGCAGCAACCACAGAACCCACAGAAACGAGGGAATCCCTTCCAGGGAGGAATGGAGGAAAATAGAACTGACTAGCATTGTGGAAGAGTTGGACATTTGGGGACATCATTAATCTCCAACTCCTTGAAGATGCTAAACTGAGGGGTAGGGATCAACCCCTTCTGTCTCTGCTTCTTTATTTATGCAGTCAGAAAGTCACTTCAGTTAGGCTTTTCATTGTATTTCACTCTTGACACATTATTGTATAGAAGCTCTAATTATTAATACAGGAGGGAGTAATTGTCCTATCCTCTGTTCTCCTATCCCTACCCCCAGGGCCCTTTAAGCATTCCATTACGGGGATGCTGGGTGTTGTCTGGTACAGACTACTTGCTCAGCTCTTAGAGCTCTGAGTGCTTTTGTGCAGCTTCTTACCTGATTCAGCTCAATGCACTAGTGAAATCCCAACCAGTTACCCAGTTATTCACAAAATGTACAAGTCTCAAGCTCGCCTGTCACACACATGATTTTTTTAATCTCTTAAAGTGACATGGGTCACAAGCGTTTGGTACTTTACTTTCCGGAGAGTTTCTCTTTCTATAGCCCATTTGATTCAGGGGCGATGGATTTGTGATCAGCGTAACCGGACTCGGAACATGCCCAGGATTGATCCGTTTCTTTTTCCTTAGTGTGTGAGAATCACCACTGACAAAGACAGAATCCCGAAACGTGTTTGTCTGGGGTGTGTTTCCTTTCACTTGGTGGAAAGAACTATCCAGTAGGCTGCAGTCTGGAGTCCTGGTAAGACAGCGTTCATGGTGAGTGGCGTGCGCATATGGGGCTGCAGTTGCCCGCCTTAGCAGTTTCACAAGCCCCAAATGAGCAGGCGTCTTCTGGTCCCTGATCACATACATGTTTGGTTGTTCATAAATGACCCTCCTCTACACTTAGGGACTCCTCGGTACTGTCCCTGGACCGCGAGAAACAGAGTGGGCCCCTCGCTTCCCACGTTGCAACGCCTGCTTCTTACTAGAAGGGGCGAGGTTTCGTAGCGCCGAGTTCTATACCGCTCTATGTAACTGGGACCCTATAGGAGCATACGCCATTCCGGCGGCGGCAGCACCTGCGGATTTCCCGGACTTCCCGCCGGCTCTTCCGCTGGCGCCGTCCCCGGTGCCCGCCCCACGGCGCCCAACTCACGCCCTGGCCTCTCCCGCGCTTCTCGCCCGCCGCCCGCCGGGGCCTGCCTTTTATAGGCGCCGTAGCCAATGAGCACGCTCCTTTCCTTCTTCTCGCGCGACCGGCCAATCGCCGCGCCCCTGGTGTGATCTTCGTCTCCTCGGCTGCTCTCGGCTATTTTCGCTGTTGCTGGCTCCTCCAGAGCTGGTCGCTCGCTGCCCCAGTCGCTGCTTTTTTTTTTCCGGGTTCGGAGCCGTTCCGGATGCTTTTGGCTGCCGGATGTCTGGTCTCCGGATCACTGAGGCGTCTCTGTACATGGATTATCTGGTAGGTGCGGGGCCGGGGTGGCGGGTCGCCGCTCAGGTGCCGACGTGCCCGCTCTCCCTCGCCTGGAGCCCCAGCCTGGCTGCTTTCTTTCTTCGGGATGGGATGCCGTGGGGCTGCTTTCTCCTGCAGCCCGCGGGATCGCTGCGCCCGCACTCGCTCGGCGGCCGGCGGGGTCGCGGGGCGGCAGCGCGGGGGGACGGGGAGCTGACAGGTGAAGGTGCGGCGGGCGCCAGCCGGGCAGCGGGCGAGGGTCTCGCTGGGGCTGCGGAGAGATGGGCCCGCAGCGGAGGGCGGTCTGCCCGCGGCCGGTGCCCCTTGTTTCCCCACCGCGTTCCCCGCGCAGGACTTTCTTTCCGGGCAAGTAGGAGTTTTCGGCTCTGCCTCCACTCGAACTCCAGGTACTATTAAAGAGCCATAACCAGAATGGCTCGCTAAGTGCCTGGCAGCCCCGGTCATTTGCTTGTTATTAGATCTCTAAAGCTGTGACCTCGGTCGCGGCAGGGTTTTAAAAGCACATTACCATAAAGTAGACGGGACTAAACTGCCTCGCCACCTGGCCAGAACAGGACCAGGCTGGCTTTGCCCCGCCGATCGGATCCGCTCAGGTCTGGGCTGCACGCGTGCATTTTCACCGGGTGCATGGATTTGGGTGCCTGCTGTGCGCTTAGGCCAGGCTGGTATCGAGAAGTTTAGGTGGGCAAAGTGACAGCACGGAGCTTGGGCGGAACGCAGTTGTGAAGAAATGATTTGTGAATGTGTTCGTGGAATTATGCAAGCACTTTTATTTTGTTCCAAAAATTATAGTATGACCCGAGCTGCGAGCTTGTGGTCAAGGGAATCCTTATTGACAGTCGCTGTGCCAGCGCCGAAACAATTACTATGTTTACTGGTCAGCCAGGGCCGCTATTGCTGAAGTGGAGAGTTGAAAACCTGACAACCCGCGCCCCTTCCCCCCCTCCCCATCCACCTAATTTCATTGGACATAAGCGCTCGTGTTTTCAACTGCAAATGGCCCTGGCAGAGGTTTCCAATGCCTTCTAGGAATTACATCTAAGGCTATACCAAGAAAGAGCCTTTATTAAAAAATGCTGGACAGTGGCTGGTTTTGTAGCGTTATAAGTGATTTGGGGCTTTCCATAGTTTTACGCGGAGACTGTTTCCCCTCAACGTTTAGGGCATGAGGATCCTGTAGGGGAGGATGGTCATTGCAGCAAGAGCTTGACCTTGTGAATGGAGTGCTGGGCCAGAGTAAAGCGAGTGCTGGGTTCAGATTCTGTTTTGCTGTTCTTTTGCTGACGGCAGTGAGTTCCTCGCTGTTTATGCTATCCACCCAGTACCATTAAGCGTTATTATCTGATCTAAAACAGGTTTTAAAATACAGGTTAAGAGTCCCCTGATGGAACTAAAAGATTATTTTTGAAATTAACTGGTTCCTTTGTTATTATTAGGCCCTGTAAAATACAATACTATGGTTTGGTCCAACAGTCTGCCCAGATTAATGCAAAAGTTGGGGATAACTGCCTAGTAGGAAAGGGCAACATAACCTATATTATTGAAAGCCACTTTCGAGACTTAGTTCCTAAAAATGGAGAACATGTGGTTCTGATCGCTTTATTTTTTTTTTTGTTGCTCAAGATGTGTTTTAAGTGATCAATTGCATCAAAGGCTACCTTAGGGTGCGAAATCCACCCAAAGCATTTTGTGAAAATGATTTTGTAAATACTGGTTAATACCTCAGGTTAATCTTTAGATAGGCGTGATCTGATTGTGAGTGGATGAATGCTTACGGGCCCTGGTTCATTCTAAAAGTAGATTCATTTCTTTGCCAGTTTACTATCAGTTCGGCATCACAATGCTGGGCCCCAAACTTGATGACAGTCCCTCATGTTTTACCTGCTACCCCCGCCCCCCACACTGGTTTCATGTTTTTTTGTTTCAATCATTATTTTGTCAACCTTAAATTTAACACGTAACAAGTGCAGGGAAGATTCCCATAAAAAAATGTAGCAAAGCATTGGTGTGGCTAGGTGCCACGGGAGTTGTTGATTCTGCCTCATAGTCTCCAAGGATGGCGCCCTGATGGCATGGTGGATTTGTGTGCTGGGCTGCTAACCACAGGTCAGATGTAGGAACTCACCAGCCGCTCCACAAAGATGAGGCATCTGGTCTCATAAACATCTACAACCTCAGAAACCCAGAGGGGCACCTCTTCTCTGGCCTGCACGGTCCCGCTGACTCGGGCTGGATGCGGCGGAAACCCTGATGGCAGTGCCTTTGTTCTTCCTACCGACTCCAGGAGTTCATTCCGACACCTGGTCTGGGCCTTTCGCCCGGTGCCACTGTCCTCACAATCACTGTTGTGTTTGAGCCCACTGTTGCAGGTGTGACCATCATCTTGGGGGTCTTTGGCTGACCTGCTTTACCAAGCATGATGTCCTTCTCCGGGGATCAGCCCCTCCAGATAACTGACATTCTGACTCCTTCTTCGCAAACAGATTGTCCTGTTCTGACACTCTCAGTTCATATTCAATAACCTTCACCAATACCGTGCTTCAAAGGCATCAGGTCTTCTTCAACGGAGCGTTCCATGGGCAATTGTTAGTGGTGAAGGAAACCGTCTGAAAGGAAATGGTCTTTTGAATGTGCAAAGTAATCCCTATCAAAGAGGTTATGACAATCATTACACCTTAGGTCCCTGGACTGAAAAGCAACGAATGTGCGAAAACACTCCCTCCTGAGCTGATCTTTTTGTATTTATGTCTTGTCTTTATGACTTTCCGAGAAATCGGCATCCCACAGTCCCGACCTTTCTTCTTTCACATTGGTTTCCTTATGCACAATCTAGATATATTAATAAAAAAAAGTTTCTGAAAAATAAAAATTTCATTGACAGGATCCTATTTGAAAAGCAAATCAACTCCCAACTTCTTTTACTTAGGACTCCTGTTCATTCAAAGTTCGACTCTTCAGTTTTTGCTGAGCTGTGGACGAGAGCAAGTGCTGTATCTGTACCCTTCAAGGAAGAACAACGTGTCTGCAGGAGGGACTCGGGTCTGTTTTGTTTGTCCATTGTTCTTTGGACTGGATGTCATCGTTGAATCTTTTCATATGGAGGATCCTAGAAAGGGAGAGAGGTGCATTTTCAACAACTTTTAATGGGCTTGGCCTACTAAGACAGAGGAAGAATCTTTGTCTTAGAAGTTGCTGGTGATGCCTTATCTTAGACGACTAAATGATGTGTCCTGAAGAAGAGATAACAGACAAGGTGGGGATGGTGCCTTAGTGCTTGAGACAGGGTTTTTTCCTACTACCTGAAAGGTTGGTGGTTCAAATCTACCCCGAGGCACTGAGGGAGAAAGGCCTGGTAATCTCCTTTTAAGACCCCAGCCACGGGCACTCTGGAGCAGAGTCCCACTCTGGAAGACTGGGTGTGCCTTAAGTCGAAATGGGATATAAAGTAACTTAAAAAAATTAATTTAATGCCAGGGTAGCTGTGATAATTGGGCTAATCCAAAATGATTGTATGTGCCATTTAGTGCCTGGCATGGCGCGCTGGCTGGCATGCAGTAGTGCCCAGTCTTTTATTTGTTGAACTGAATGAATATGAGATGGGCAGTTGTAATTTTTTCTTAGCAGTTTCTACACTGAGCCAAGATAAAATCTGTTTGGCTTCGGTGTTTGGTTCTGAGAAATGCAGAATGTATCCTTTATTCTTAACTTCAAGATGATCAGAACATGATTCTTTTTTTCTCATCCCAGCCTGGGTGGCAATATAAATAACAAAATTTATTTTTGCCAGCTGATGAGGGGAACTTCTAAGGAGGCTACCCACCTCCCCCCCACTTTTTTTTCATGGTGGGTTTTAAAGGCCATGTTTATACTGGTCGAGACAGTATGAATGTCTTGCTATAGGTAAGGTATTGCTGCTGCTCTGCTGGCAGGCACCTGGCTCCCTTTCTCTGAAGACAGATCGACTAGGAAGACGTTGTCCTGCAGAGCTTGTGGAAGAAGGTGCGAGAAAACAGTCAAGTTACGAAAGAGAAAAACATGTTTTGCCAGGTTTTCTGGGGAGGCTGAACAAGATCAACGTCCAGACTCCTTTCAGTTCAAGAAGTTCAATTTTTTTTTTGCCCCTTTAATGTTCGAATAGATTTATTTGGTACGTCATCTCTTTCCTCCCTCAGCCATCAAAGCAAAACCAAAATCAAACATAAAAGCACAAAGATGTGTTATACCCTGTGGAATGCCTATGATGATCCAACGAGGAAACAGAGGGATAGTGATTTATCACAACACCGTGCCTTTCAAATTCCGAGTGTTCGTGTATTGTGCTGCCGCTGCTCTTCTTCTTAGACATTGAGGAGTGGCTGTGGCAGCCACCTTTTAAACTCATCTCATTATATGGAAAGATTGGGATTTGGTCATCGGGAAGGCAGCCTGGAAATCCTGAGTCCCAGGAGGATTGTTTAATCCTTATAAAATGAAGTCTTCCTTCTGTTATTTTCATGCATTCACTCAGCAACTATTTATGGAGCCTTGAAAGTCACTGGAGGGAGCCCCTGCCTCTGCCGTCCTCTGGCCTCAGGACTGGCAAGAGCATGGCAGGAAGGGGACCTTGGCCAGGCAGGGCTGACAGGGCACATGGGGAAGGAGAATGCTCATCTCTGCTTTCTGGCATATTTCTCTCATAATTGACATGCTACTTTGTTTTATTATTAACTAAAATATAAAGTTAGACTTGAGAATATGACACCTAAAAATACTTGATTATCCAGACAGGAAGGGGAAAGAGTGCTATTCTGTTGAAGGGATTGCAGCCAATGTCACGAACAAAATGTATATCAACTGTTGGATGGAAAGCTAATTTGCTCTGGAAACTTATACACACTACAATTTAAACAAAAATCTGAATTCACCTTAGTAGAACTTGATTGGGAAGGTAATTCATAGAGGGGAAATGAGGGGAAAACAACAGAGTACACTGGAAAGTAAAATAAAAA